CTCCTTTAAGCATTATACTGAAAAGTCCAAGGGTAAGGGCAGGGTTTAGACCCAGGGATTAAAATAATGTTTTCAGATGCCCTCCCTCTACTGCCGCTACTTTGCCTCTCTCTCTCGTTCTCAGTTCAACTTTCCTCATTGTTTACTTCATTTACACATAGGCTCTCCCCATGGCCTTGCTCTCAGAAATTCTAAGGACCCTGGTACTATCTTATAAGTAGAAAATCGCCTGGATTGATCATTCCAATTAAAGTCCCAGAACTGAATCTCTTTGACTCAAGCCTGTATCATATGCTTATCCCTAAACCAATCATTGTGGCCTGGGAGATCAAAGAATATCACTGGCCAGGCCAGTGTCATGTCCATTTAAATCCCAGGAACTAGAGTCAGGAAGGAGAAGATCTCAAGGACAATCACGATGTTTTACTAGAAGAAGGTGGGCCAGAAGACAAAAGAATAGAGCCTGCTGCAATTTTTATCTTCAAATGTGTATGACCACAATCACAATACATAGAATGCGCATATGTAGAATGCATACACTTATGAACAATATATAGGATGCACCAAACTGTGACACCAAGCCATAATTAATAACATAACTTGACATAAGTTAACTTATTAATTATAAACAGATAATGACCCAGGCTCTCTCTTTTCCAAAGAACAGCAATTTCCCAGCAGAAGTCAAAGACCTGACTAAACGCATAAGGACTGTTTTGATGGCCACAGCTCAGATGAAGGAGCACGAGAAGGACCCCGAGATGCTGGTGGATCTCCAGTACAGCCTGGCAAACTCCTACGCCAGCACCCCCGAGCTGCGGAGGACCTGGCTGGAAAGCATGGCCAAGATTCACGCAAGAAACGGCGACTTATCCGAGGTGATTAGCGGCGGCTCAGTCATTCACCGTCAGCATTGTCTCCTTTACCAGGGCAATTAGATCTTCATTTACACCATGAATTATAAAATGGTACCATATTTTTCCACTAATCTAAACATGACTCAATTATATATCATGTACAAGAAATCTGCATATAGGGTTCAAGGATACCTGACTCGAAGCAGATGACATTACATAAAGGCCAGAGTCGGGGGCAACTGCAGTTGTGTGAAATGCAAGGCAGAGCTGAACGCTAAAAACCTGGGACTAAAGAAGAGGGTGGTAAGGGTGTCTGGAAATTAAGGGTCATATAAATTAATGTTCTGTGTTTTAAAACTTCTTCCCTGCGACTGGAGTTGAACAGGGAAGCTTGCCACCATGGTGAGTGAACTCCGGCAGGGCTCATCAGTCACCATTTACAGCTGGTCTGAGCTGGCCATGGAAAAATTAACACTCCTTACCACCACGGGGGGAGAGTCCACTGTGTGAAGATTATAAATCAATATTTAACTTTTTTATGTCAGTTTAAACACTGGGTGGATTATATGCAGCAGTTCACAGCACTCGAGGGCCTCTGAGTACCAAATGGGGAAGTTCTGCTCTATTCCAGAGTTATGTCCCTTCGGGGAAGAGATTAATTTGTCTAGGATAGTCCTAAACTCTGAAGCTCTTCTAAATGCATGTGGTAATCAGAAACTCTGGAACAAAAACCAGAAGCCTGGCTTGGCAGCAATTTAGTGAGGACAGGAATGAGAAACTCCAGTTCCCTTGGACTGCCCTGAAAATGATGAAATCTCTCCATAAAACCTCAAAAGGAAAATGCTTGAAGTCATTTGGAATTGCCAAGTTTTAATATGTGTTCAGCAGTGTTCAAGGCTTTATAAGAGATGCTAGGGAAAAATAAAATATCTCCCATATTATCTGGTTTTGGGGAGCACACGTGTTAACTTCGGGTCACACGATTTAATAGAGTGCTAACTTGTAAGGCAACCATTTTAAAGACAATAAATAGAAATTCAAAGAGGGGCTGTTACTCGAGGTAGAAGAAGTTAGAAGGCAGATTATTTTCATTTCCAATTTAGATCTAGATACTAGTGTTTATAGTTTTAATAAGAAAAGAGACCTGTGGATTCAAAAAAAATCCAGGCTTAGATGTTAAGGGTGGAAGATAATTCTATGGGAAAATTCTTCAGGCCAGCTCATTCATCGTCTCCAGACTGTATCAAGAACAAAGAAACAAATAAAAAAAAAACCCAAATACTCATTTTATTTTTGATGGTGAATTTTTTGGAAATCAAGTTGATTCTCATTTTCAGTTCTATTATTGCCAAGGATTCTTCTACATAACATGTGTCATACATGTCTTGCCTTGGACGATTAGTCCTGAATAGGTTAAAATCCACCCTCTGAACCTCTTCGTTTTCTTTCTTATTGCAGGCGGCCATGTGTTATATCCATATAGCTGCCCTCATCGCAGAATATCTGAAAAGAAAGGGTAAGATGACCACCTCTGGGGGGAAAAAGTCCAGAAATAAATATGTTGAAACTTAACATAAAATTTATTAATTTTAAATTTTATTAATCTCTGTTATGTTTTATTAAGTAATAATCACTTTCACAGATATTTCTAATTATGCTATACTTTTAAATCTTAACTCTATCATATCATTAGCATTTTTTTGTTATTTTTTTGAGACAAGGTCTAACCATGTCGCCCAGGCTGATCTTGAGCTCCTGGGCTCAAGGGAGGCCGAGATGGGCGGATTGTTTGAGCTCAGGAGTTCGAGACCAGCCTGAGCAAGAGCCAGACCCCGTCTCTACTAAAAATAGAAAGAAATTAATCGGACAACTAAAAATATATAGAAAAAATTAGCCGGGCATGGTGGCACATGCCTGTAGTCCCAGCTACTTGGGAGGCTGAGGCAGAAGGATTGCTTGAGCCCAGGAGTTTGAGGTTGCTGTGAGCTAGGCTAACGCCACGGCACTCACTCTAGCCCGGGCAAAAGAGTGAGACTCTGTCTCAAAAAAAAAAAATCCTCTTGCCTCAGCCTCCCAGAGTAACAGGTGCAAGCCACCGCACCCAGTTCATTAGCATATTTAATGTACAGCAAGGCTAACTGGATGGTCAACTTCTTAGTTCAGAACAAGAATGCCTCATCGGTGAATGGTCTATAGTTTCATAAGCTTGTATTAACACAAACATGTAGCAATGTCCTAACCTCATCTTGCACTACCATAGGTTACTGGAAAATGGAAAAGATTTGCACACCATCCCTGCTCCCGGAGGATACTCACCCCTGTGATAGCAATCCATTACTAACAACTCCTGGTGGAGGAAGTGAGTGATCTAACTGTGCTCATTTATCCCCAGTGAAAAGGAAATCAAGTTGCTGCTTAAATTTTACTTCAACAAAATCTTCTTAAATGTATTCTTAGGAGCAAAAACTATCTCAGACCTATATAACTTACTCTGCAAAAACCTTAAGCTCCTGCCATTCAGAAATCCCACCCAAAATTTATGAAGTTTAGATTACGTAAAAGTGCTCAGCAAATAGAACTGTGCATTATCAAAATTTGGGTTTATGAGTTATGGCTGTATTTAGCTACCAATCTGCATGCTAGTCTGCCAACGGGATTTTATTGTGAAATTGACAAATTCTTTTAAATTGCAAGAAGAATCTATTTTAATTTGTAAATGTAATAAAACTATTCAAAATAAGAGGTGCAAAAATGGAAACATATACATACATTATATATGTAGGACTTTCTAATCTGGATGTTCCATTTCATTTTTTAAAAGTATAAACTGAACTCTGACAATTTATAACATATAAGTTACAGTATGGATTTCCTTTAAAAATATTCCATCTGTAATGTCTGATAAAAAAAATGTTTTGCAACATTGACTAGATAGTCTTTGTAAAAAAAAAAAGTGGTTATATAGTTAACACATTTAATCTACTTTCTCTTATAAAAACTTGTTCAAACCCGGTTTATGCAATTGTTTCATAACATTAGTTAAACTTTCCAAGTGCAGTGGAAACTCAGTGTATGAATAGTAGAAGTATATTTTTTAGATGTTAAAATCAAAGTTCCTAAATAAAATGTAAATGGACTTCAGTTATAGTATTTCAGAAACATAATTCATCCCTTATTCTTTTTAATATGTGTATATTTCCTAAAAGGTCTCAGTGGATTTTGCATGTACGACATTTGAATCAAATGACCACAGTGAACTGTGAGAAAATGGGGTCACTTGTTTGAGGACCTTGGAGAAGAGGCCAGATCTGGCACCATGGCTTATGTTCACCCTAAAATACAGGGATCTTCTTGTTTCATTTCATATTTCCTGTTCAGCCTTCTTTTGATATGCAAGCCATCAAAAACATCATTGCCTCATTTAACATACCCTTCCTCCCCATCTATTTTTTATCATAATCAAAAGTCATAAAGTTCCATAAAGACTATTTCAAATTCTAACTTAAAATGAATTTAAGAAAACTGATAAAAGCCAGATACCAGGTTGAGAACTTGGGGAAACTTATTTCCCCAAAAATTGTGAGAATCTTTAATATTCAAAAATTTTAAATGCCCAATTTTAGACCTAAGGTGATATCAGAATGTAAGGTACCCCTTGAGAAAGGGATATATTTATTTAGTAAACTTAAAAATAGGGAAAGTGATCATTTATGATGCATTATCATATATTTGTATCCATCAGCGTATATCTGAAGGTCATTGTCATATATTTAAAGCTCTTTGTATGCTTTTATGTTATGATATTTATTAGTCAGAGAAGTAAACTATCCTTTCCCCACAACGTGCCCATGACAAGAATATCATGAATATAGGCGACTCTAGAAAGTGTAGCTGCTTCAGTTGTACTAATAAGTGATCATCATCATCCTTCCATGAGTATATTGTGACTTTTCCTTCTACAATCAATTCTTATATATTTTAATACATGTTTAATTACCAAAGGAATATTATTATAAAAAGTAGAAAAGTACACTTTTTTATAAGCAAGGATTAGATCACAATATTTATTATATTTATGATTTCTAGTATGTTTAGGGGAGTGATCATTTAGTTATGTAGCCAATGAGCTGATTATTAAAAATGGAAACATTTCACAAAATATTAGCTATAACTTAGAAAGCATTTTCTATGTGGAAGGCACTACACTAAGCCCTCTGCCAGTGATATCATCCTTAGTTGCCAATTATAAGTCTGCGAGCTAGGTGCTATAATCACCTCCTGTTTATAGGTAAGAAAACCAAGAGAAGCAAGATAACCTGCATCTGGTGGTTAGCTTGCGATGGAACCAGAATTCAAGGGCTGGGCTGTGCTCCTGGCCACTTATGTTCCCCACCATTCAGACCTGCTCCCTCCTCTAGGAACATTGCCCATTATCAACTGTTTTCACATAGATCTGTGGAGGCAGGCCTTTATTAATCTCGGTGGCTAAGATACTAAGAAAATTTGAGAAGGCTTCTAGATAATACAAAAGAGTAAAAATAGCAAGTATTGACCATTGTCTTCATAATGCACTGACTATACCAGGTGTTTTCTCAAATATTAATGTTTTGAATCCTTTCAACATCCTTTGAGATAGATATTAATGTCTCTAGCTTAACAAAAGAAGGAGACAGTCTCAGAGAGGTTCATTAAACCAGAACATGAGAGCTATGTCTACCTACAAATCCTATGTTCTGTCCATAATCCCATGCTAGCTCTTTATAAAAAGATGCGTTGCCTGAAGATGACACAAAAATTATAAAAAGGGGAATATTGGGTGCCTGGCAGAGAGTATTAATCAATAATCATAATCTAACCATCTTGTTGATTGTGTGAGTTTTACAATACTACCATTTGTAACCTCATCAAGAACAGCATTATCTAATCTAAGCAAAATTGGGCACAAGTAATAATGTTTCATTCTGCTTGGTCCTCCCAAGGCATGTTCTCCATGGGATGGCCAGCTTTTCTGAGCATCACACCAAACATTAAAGAAGAAGGAGCAATGAAAGAGGACTCGGGAATGCAAGATACACCATACAATGAGGTTGGACTAAAATAATCTAATGAATAGTAACTAAGTAAAAAATACACTGAATTGCAACATTAAGCTAAATAATGGGAAACAAGCTTATTCAGAAGTCAGATAAAGTTACTCTATAATATAACTTAGACAAAATGAAAATCAAGCTACAATTAAGCCAAGATTAATAGATATCAGATTCCATTGATAAAGCATAATTATCAATGAAAATTTACACTGAGCATTGCTTCTGTAAGATGAACTCAAATGTATATGATCAGCTCTTCTCTATAAGATATACAATCTCTGGTCTTTTGGTAAAGGTGACAAAGGGTGCTTAAAATTTTACCAGCTAGTCACAGCTTTTTTTCTTAATGTATTAGGAAGTTTATTTACATATGCAGCTGAACAAAAAGGCTTGCTATTTTCTACAAAAAACCTTCTGATATGCAAACCATAGTTCTTTTTCATTAATAAAAGGAAGATGCTTTCTACTGGAATGACTTAACAACAATTCTGATAAAGAAAATAGAACTCCCCTCATCAAGTAAATAAAATATTTCATAAGCTAACTTTTCTAAGTCTTAATATTACATAGGTGGATAAAGGGGATACAGAATGCAAATTTGGGGATGGATTTTAATAAAGTTTCACATACAGTTCTACCTTAATTTAGTATATATTGCAGATAAACAGAGTAAATGCAATTACATAATTATATTAATTATTTCAAACAATGTTTAAGAACCTTTTGTTAAAAGACATTGTTGAAAACATTCCAATAATATCATGCATTTGTTTTAGAGGGTATATAATTTGATTCAGTGTACCATTTATTAAACCACTCATATATGTAAGGCATTGAGTTCAGAGCTGGGAAACATAAATAAAGCATAATTCCTATTGTCAAAGAATTTAAAATCTTGAGAAAGATTTCTTCAGAGCAGGGTGTGGCCAGTCAAAAATAGATGCCCAGGAACTATAAATCTAGTATATAATCTAGTATGTAATCTATAAATCGTATATGGTTGCAATTGACAGGGAACAATATTTTACATGAAAGTGGTGGGACTGAGGATGAATGGGACATAAATAAAAGCTCTCCATTTTTGTGCTGCGATGATATTTGACAGGACTTGAAGGTGTCAAATGAGAGCAGATTTTCACGGGTGCAGCAACAACACAGGCCAAAGTGTGGAGGGGAGAAAGTATTCTAGGAATGCAGTGGGGCGGGGTGGTATGGCCAAAGCGCAAAGTCCATGGCAGAGTCTTGAGAGAGGGGGACACTGAAAGGGAGATCAGTGGCAGATTATGGAGCCCTCGAATGCCGTGGGAGAGAGTTTGGACAGCAGTTTATAGACTGGAGTTCCCACACAGTTTAGGGCACTGGAGATCTCATGATCAGATTTATGTTTTAGAAAGTACTGGAGAGCAACAGTTGGAGAGGGAAAGCAGATTCGCTAGAAAACAACTGCGGGGGGTCTGAGAGCGGCGTTCATAGGGGTTTGATTTAAGTCAGTGACAGGGAGACCGAAAAGAACTAGACATATCTGAAGGCATTTTATAGATTTAAATTAGCATGTTTAAGGCACTAACTGGGTGATGGTAAGGGATAGGGAAGAATCCCAATGACGTCACTATCCCTTTGCTGGGTTGTGAATGCCAGTAACAAAGGGAAAAAAATGTCATTGCAACAGTTTTGAAACCAGGTTTCAGGGATGAGCCACAATGTAAATCATGTAAAATCTTACTTGATTGGGGAATCGCAGAATATCCTGGTGGAGCAGCTGTACCTGTGTGTGGAGTTTCTTTGGAAATCTGAGCGATATGAACTCATCGCTGACGTCAACAAGCCCATTATTGCCGTCTTCGAGAAGCAACGAGACTTCAAAGTATGTATTCTAGACCCCAAGAAGCTAGTTAAAAACATCCTACTTTAAACTGGCAAATCACTTAATATTTTCAAAAGTAGGAACTCCTTATTTTTATGTCAGCATCATCTTCATGAAACCCTTCAATTTATGGTTTCAGAAATTGTCGGATCTCTACTACGACATTCATCGGTCATACCTAAAAGTGGCAGAGGTGGTGAATTCAGAGAAGCGGCTATTTGGTCGCTACTATCGTGTGGCATTTTATGGGCAGGTAAGTTCACTAGAAAGAATGTGGCCCATAAATTCTGTCGAGCAGTTGGATGTCGTCTTTCATCCTTTGTAAGGCATCTCACTGCGTGTGCCTGTGGATGGAAGGGGAATGGGTGTGGGTGTGTCCAACTCTACTCGAGTGTTTCTCTGGGTGTGGGGGTCTATACACTTGCCCATAGGAATGCTCGACATTGGGAAAGAAATGAACAAAGAAATCCCTGGGCCTCAACGCGGGGCAAGTTAAAACGGTGATTACTAACTTCTTAGAGAAAGAGGGCACTTATTTTTCAGCATTATCTTCTTTCCAATTCACCCCAGAATATCTAATTACAGATGTACGTCCTATTAAAATTAAATTAAACATGTTTTAAGACATGACATTTCATAGTATTCTAAGAAACAAAAGAATTCCTAGGGGCTCCACCATATCAAACCTTTGACTTTGCAATCATGCCATTTTTTTTCTCCTACTTTCAAACTACCACTGTTTGTAGACAGAATATTCTATGGTTATTTTGTTTCCTGTATTGCAGGTCAATGTAATTTTAAAGTTATCTTTCTCGGTTTACCGCATAAGTAATGAACAGGATTGGGAATACTAGCTAGCCACAGCATTGGTCTGAAACTGAACATACTACGTATTAATTATGAATATCTCTGAGCAGCTCTTTCAGTGGGATAAACCACAGCACCATCCTGTTTCTTTTCCAGAAGCCTTGTGACATTGTATCAGCAGATGTATTTCAGACCGTTGCTCTCACAGATAAACATCCCATGCTTTTTTTATGGTTGCAGTGGCGCTCAGACTTCTCACCTCATTTCCCCCGTCTCGTGGAAAGCACTCTAGCACTTAGCTTCTCGTTCTCCTCAGCTTGTTTTCTTTAAGGCTACAGCCGAAGGAGTCAAATCCAGCGTGGCCATTCTAAACCAACTCCTACTGAAGTCTTTTGAAAAACATATTTTCTTCTAATCATCAAAGGCAGCTTAAAAACTAATTTCTGAATTAATAGATACTCTCCACCTGGAAAGGAAAGTATCATCAAGCAGCCACTTACCAAAAACAAATTAATCCAACCTGGATTTTTCTCGCTGCACAGAAACATCAGGGTGGTGGAGACAGAGAAATCTAGTGTTGTGAGGAAGAGAGATCCACATAGCCTTTAGAAAGAAGCTAAATTTAGATATTCGGGGGTCCATGGAAAAGAATCTGAACTATCTGTAGTGTACCTTGGGGGAGACAGAAGTGTGGGAATCTTCAGGAGGGAGGAGAAGGAAGAAGAAATAGTATCTTGGAAGCCATGAAAAAAAAATACAAGTTGTGACTTTGGTGAAACATTAGCAAGAAAGATGGCAGCAAACTCCATCAGGAAGGGGGTTTGGGAGTTGAGGAATTGAAGGAGAAAACAATTTCAGGGAGGATGGGCACAGGCTAACAGAACAGCACAGGAGTGGCCCATGAGATACGCTTTTGGAAAACCAAGAATGACTCTACAACTCTTCAGATGTTCTTTCCAACGAAAAGGGAATGAACTACCATAAATACACTGGTCATGGAAACCAGATTGCCTACAAGATGGTTTCTCTAACGAATATCTGAGATATGGGCTATTAAGCAGATAGAAATTAATCATTCCACTTTCCAACTAGCTTTTAATACAGATATTTACTCTTTTCTTCTTTTGGTCTTGATTGTTCCAGGCTGTGGTAAGTTCTCTCTCTCTCTCACTGTCCCCCTCTCTCTCTCTTTCTCCTCCCCCCCATTTGCATGCTCTAATAATCTTCACACTTCCCTCTGTATGGTTTTACTAAACCTTAACTTTCATGTGCAAATCAACATTTGGTACAAAGGGTAAGATAATTTCACTTCCCTTCATTTTGGAATCATCCTACAGTTCTTAAACTAAATTCTGTGTATGCCAAATGTGTGAATTACAAAAATGTATCCTTTATTTTTCATACATGTTATCTTTATGCACAAAGGTAGATGTAGCCTGAAAGCCTTACACACACATACACACATACACACACAAATATGAGTACCAAGTATTTTAAATACATGTAGAGTAGACTTAGTATTGCAAATTGCCTGCTTATTTCAGGCCACTCTGAGTTGCAGCTTCTTAAAAAGATCAGGGTGGCCAGAGTTTTACAAATTGGAGTGGAAGCTATAGATGGGCACCTTCCCAGTGTACTAAAGAACTCTGCCCTTTTCCAAAGGAGTATCTTAGAGAGGTGAGGTCCTATGGTGGGGAGCTCTGAGCATCCACAGAGGTGATGGTATTCATTCCCAACACAAAAGATTATCAAGGGAATCAATCTTTATGCAGTAGTTCAGGTTAAGTCTCCAGAGATGCAGAAAGAAGCAAGATAAGAAATTTGGAGAACAAACCAAATCAGAAATAACCTGCCATTACCTAGAGCTCAGTGATGACGAATTTTCTTTGCATTATTTTGAACCACATGAAACTGAATATATTCAACCAGTTTTAACCTACAAAAAGTGGCAACTTTATATGGCTTAACATAATTCTTATCAATTAAGCTGGAAAGAGAAATAAAGAAATTATTTTAATAGCTGCACATTATGTGTCCACATTCAGCCCTATTTGCCTGCGAAGTACATACTTTTTTGTAATTCTATAAATCCCTTCCCATATCCATACCATGCCAGTATTTTCTACCTTCGTTTATAAATTTCAAGCCACGGGTCCTTAACTCACCTACTAAAAGAATACTTGAAAACCCCTGTACTAAATAGACTGAGGCGGGCAACCGGGAAGGATTGGGGAGGGTTACTTTCAAATGACCTAACTTTGTTCTTTTTTCAGACTCCTCAGTAAAGTGTGCTGATTGTGCTACTGACTTTTTTTTTTTTTTTTAACGCTGCAGTACTCTCAATTGTCTTTTATAAACAATTCCAAAGGCAAAGTGTTTTGTTAAATCTGCAGACTGAGAACCTGCCTAAGCATGGCACTCCATAAGCTCAAACCCCAGCTGCCTGTGAACAGGAGAACTGATGGAAGTCATCCTGATAAGCAGGAAATTAGAGCCTCAGTCGTCATTGTTCAGATGATATTCAAATGCCTGTCCCAAGATACCAGATGGAGAGTGTGAACTGTGGTATTGAGCAGAGCAGACAGCACACACCACTTCACACTCGATGACAAATAAATACCAAATAGACTTGAACATTCCCCCGAACGTGTGCAGAATGAAAGTTCCAGAGATCTAAGATTGACTTGCCTACTTGATTAGCATAATCCCCATGGTCAAAAATAACTTCTTATTCATGATGGTGCTTTATGTCCCTGTAAGACTCACCTTTTAATATCCAAATTGACATGTCTTGCAATCATGTTAAAAAGATTATGGAAATGCAATATGCAACCGACACTCAGCACAAAGAACCACAAAGATCGTCGGGTACATATTTCAGTGTCCCACATGCACTCTCATTTTATAGTGTTAGCTAGGGTATTTAATACTGTGTCTGCACTGAGCCAGACACTAGAAAACAAACTGAAAATGGTTCTTTCATAGCAAGAATTTTCAAAAATGTAAGTCTTGTACAGCATGCATTTTCTAATGCAACGCCTGGCATCATTGGCTATGGAAATTTTACACATAGCATCCTATATAAAGCATCACCCAAAGTGTCCCTGAAGTATTGATTTCCAGAGTAATGAAACAGCCGTAGTGATCAAACATCAACTGTAATCAATGGAATCCTTAGGCCCTGCTATTTAGCATGAAAGCAAACAACTGAATGTCCATTGCATAACTTAAAAGAACAGATGCCCCTGGAATTAATTAAGTGAAGGACCTGGGGGAATTTTATTCTATTCACCAAAGAATGTAGATTCTGTGATTCTCAATCATGCCTACATGGGGGTACTTGCATCTCAGAGTCTTAATAAAAAAGAAATTGGGGAAGGAGGGACGGTGTACGTGTAGTTTAAAAAAACACCGTATCTCTGCTTTGGAATGTGATACACCCTCCCAGCTCCCCGCCTATGGGAAAGTCACTGAAGTAGACCACATATATATATACTGTATAGTTAAACATCATAATTGAGTTCATATTTATGTGAGACCATTTCTCTGAATTCTTGTAGCTTCTTTTCTCTTAGCATTTAGCCTATTGTTAACATTTTCTGATCCATCTTTTATATACTAAATTCTTCTTTGAATGCATTCTTTTCTTTATGAACTTTTAAGCAGTAGAATATAACACCAAGGGCACTTATATTTGACATCCCAGTGATTATCCGGGGACATTGCGAGATTCTGAAGTACCTGCAAAAACTTCTAAGAAGGAGTGAATGATTTTAGTTGTTAGTTTATTGAAGTACATTTTTATCATAATTGATTGCCTTGAAGTTTAATGCATGTTAATTCTACTGACTCAAAGTCCTTGTTTAACTAAAATGTGCTGTTTCCTAACCACAGCAGATGAAGGTGTTTATTGCATCGTAAAATGACATTTTAAAAAAACCAAACTAGCAAGGGAAATGCAGAGATCACATTTCCCCTTACCTTGAAATGCAGTCAATTCATAACCCGGAGGCTAAAGCAAAAGAGAGATTGACCTTGGTTTCATCACCCCATGCCCTTGTTTATAAATCATTTATTCTATAGACAGAGCTGAAATTGAAGCCTTCCCTCAGACAGTGTGCTGTAGCTCAGTGGGCTTTGCTTTGACCGTTTCCCCGGGTAAAAGGTACGCGTGAATCCCAAATATTTTCAGAGCTGCCATCTGTCTGGCTCCAAAAGCTCTTTACAGAAACCCCAGCAGACAGCAGATTAAATTCTTTATTCTGCTGTTCCAGCCCCTTCTTAGTCATTTCGTAAAATAGTCTCAATAGGTTTACATTTCAAAGCTCTTCTTTAAAAAGTTCCAATCACTATGTCTTTCTTATCAATCACTAACCAAAATATTGAAATGAGCATCAATAGACCTTTTATAATAAGAAAAATTGTAGTTCTCGTGTGAGAGAAGCGGAAGGTATGTGTCTTGAAGCACTCAGAATGAGTTAAGCTATTTCCCTGCATACGAGCCAGAACTCGTGGTGCTTCATGGACACAGAATTTTCTCTTCATTTTTGCCACCACCACCACCATCTTCATCATCATGATACCTAACAGTCACCAAAGGCCTTCTGTTAACCCAGCACCGTCCTTAGGGTCTCCCAGTAGACTCCTGAGCCAGTACTTTTCCCATCTTACTGTCCAAGGAGTAGGGATGAAAGGAGGTCACCAGCTATGACTGAGGACACAAAGGTCATAATAACGCCATGAAAACTTGCCTCCCACCACTCGTGTTCTACTCACTCTGAATTTGGAAATTTGTCAAAGGAAAAATTTACAGTGAAAACGTCTCTTCATACTAGTTTTCACACTGTGGTTAAAAAAAAAAAAAAAATTTTTTCTGCAACTTGCAGACATTTTTCTCATTGAAATCGAAGTTGTAAATGTTGCTTTAGTGTTGGCCCCCGGGGGATTCTGCTTGATGGCTTCAAATGTCTTATTTCTCTGATGTGTCAGTCTGTCAATTTTAGCCACTAACTTCTGACCTTGAATCAGACAAAATTCCACAAAGACAGACACAGAAAAAAACAGAGCAGGCTGGGAGTCATGTGGGAATGGGGTGAGACCTCACCACTACTCTACAAAGGCTGGATGGATGATAGGGAGCTGCTTTTCATGCTTCAACTTCACACAGCACTTTTTAGTAGTTTGGAGTCAAGGTACTCTCCATTAGTTGTGTTTGGTCTTGAACATTTCTCAAAGAAATTGTTCCACAGAAACATCTTTATTAAAAGCAACGGAGTCTTTTCCAGTTATATCTGATGTAAATATACCTTTTTCAGACGTATGACCACTAAGAACTCTTTCATCCAACTGTGTATTCATTTAACAAATGTCAAGTGACCTCCTCCTAAAGACGAGGCATTGTGCTAAACACGGGGCATGCGGTATAGAACAAGACACGTTTCCTCCTTAGAAACCCCGAAGTCAATAGGGAGATATGCAAGGAAACAGGCAATTACCTGCTTGACAAGAACTGACAAACACACAGCTACGGCCCACTTATGATGCAAAGTGTCCTGTTAAAAATGATCAAATTTACATGCATGAAAATGCTTTATAAGTATAAAGCATCACACAGATGTGACTTTGATAATTATTTTTGGACCGTCTCATATAACTGTGGAAAATACAGCATTGGAACATTTTCTCTACTTTTTTACATATATGGAATATTTTCTAATAGTCAGAAATTATTTTTAGAAAAAGTATGACTTGGTTTCCTTTGACCTCTAGTATCTTCACCTAGACCTCAAAAGCTCTTTCTTTGCAGGTCAGCTCTGCAGTCAGAAGAAACCAGATACACCTGGATTCTTAACTCCCAACTTAATCTAGTATTCTGAGACCACACGTATTCCACAGGAAAAAATGCTTCTGTGTCTCCTCAAAGAGAAGGAATTATAAAGATTGCCTCATTTAGTTATCTTCGGATAATGGAATGTTCCGTTTCCCCTGTTCTCAAACCAGACAAAATATATTAATAGAGGTTAAAACCGCCTTACCCTACGGAAAGAAAATGATGACAGGGTTGCTATTTTTAATCCTATGAGGTCTAGCTTTTCAAGAATGTCAAACGTTTATTAGTAAAGTAAATTGAATGATTAAGTTACATAGAGCTAGATTGCATCAAGTCCCTGAAGTCATATTGATGTAAAGTTATTCTTTTAAAAAGCAGTACTTGGGAGCACACCACATGTAATTTCTGTTATGACGGTGATACAAAGTGGTGTGGTTTTCTGTCTAAGATGATGTGGGATGCGTATATCCATTCAGATACCTTTACATGCCATGCAGTGTTTTCTGTGCTAGCTTCAAAGACTCCTGGAAGACCTTCTTAAAAATGATACAGTGACTGCTCTTTGAATAATGCCAAAAATTACTCCAGACTTTGTGTTCTACCCCAAGCTACCACAAGAGGGCATTCATCCCCCAAAACATATGCAAGCAGATATTACCACTGATTTCTACATATAGAGAAAATATTTGTAAGGTATTTCATGAGGTTCTTTGGCCTGGCTGGGAAATATTTACAGTAATGTCTGATTATAACATGACATTTTTTTTTCTTCACTTCATCTCTGATTTTGAATTTGATAGGGTGCTATTCCATGGCTTGGATGACAACCAAAGGACTGGATATATTTTTTAAGTAAATTTTTTTTTGTTTTACTTGTGACTTGTAATTGGAGTTCTCTAACAAAGCTGGTGGTTCATTATGTTCCATAGGGTTTTTTTGAAGAAGAAGAAGGTAAAGAGTATATTTATAAAGAGCCTAAGCTGACAGGTCTCTCGGAGATTTCCCAAAGACTACTCAAACTCTATGCGGATAAATTTGGAGCAGACAATGTGAAGATAATTCAGGATTCTAACAAGGTAGAGGAAAATCAATATTCACGCAAGTGCTAAGAATTTAACGTAATTTTTTTATTCTCTAACTACATTAAATTTTAACTTTCTGCCTAGCTATGCAAAGTAAATACCAAAACCATTTTGGGTGTTTTGCTTGTTTGTTTATTAGATGGTTAGTTGGTTGGGGGTTTTTTTGTTTGTTTGTTTTAGTAATTTTAGGTCTTTGTAGAAACAGCTTACTAAATTCTCTACTTCTCCTATAGGTCATTTGCATTTGAATATCAAGCAAAGCATTAAAGTGATTGGGCCCAATGATGGAATTAGAGAAAACAGCAGGTTGAAAATATTTATTCAATCAAGGAGGTCTTCCTAGGCAATACCAATTTTGAAAGCTACATTATATTAAATTGTGAAAGTTATATTAAACTGTGAATATTCAATTACTCTCCTCTTGGCTCCATAAAGTATAGTTGCATCCTCTCGTTAGATTACTCAGCATCTTCATTAGCCAACCTCTATTAAGCTCCTGCTGCATGCCAAGCCCAGAACTGGGAGCTGGGGCCCATGGAGTCTTTCTTCCAGAACTCACATTTCCCATGGGGCTGAGAGGGACTGAGTGACAGTTAATTAAATGAATGCAATGAAATATGACCAGAGAGTCATGCTCCAAGTTGTAGGGAAAGCTCAGGGTAGGAGACTGTCAGAACAGCACATTTTTCCTGTTCTTCCCTCCCCAGAATGGAGTGGAGGGAATAGAGAGCTTTCCCACTTTTCTTTCGGGAGCCCCTCATGGCTTTGCCCATGTGTTAACACAGGTGAACCCCAAGGAGTTGGACCCCAAATACGCCTACATCCAGGTGACCTATGTCACGCCATTCTTTGAGGAAAAGGAAATCGAGGACCGGAAGACAGACTTCGAAATGCACCACAACATCAACCGCTTTGTCTTCGAAACGCCCTTCACACTCTCGGGCAAGAAGCACGGCGGAGTGGCCGAGCAGTGCAAGCGGCGCACGGTCCTGACCAGTAGGTGCCGGCAGGGGGCGCGCCGTTCCGGGGCAGGCCCCGAGTTAGGCTGGATCGGTGGGAGCCTAGGGGTATTTCAGTCCTGCAAGTGCCAACAGAAATGCTTGCCAGGAAGAGCAGATGTCCGCGTCTTTATTCTCTGTTAAGAGGGAGACCCTTGGCTGAGCATGGTGGCTCACGCCTGTAATCCCAGAATTTTGGGAGGCCGAGGCCGGAGGATCACTTGAGGCCAGAAGTTGGAGTCCAGGCTGGCCAACATAGCGAGACCCTGACTTTACAAAAAATAGAAAAATTAGCCCAGTGTGGTGGCGCATGTCTGTAGTCCCACCTATTTGGAAGGCTGAGGCAGGAGGATCACTGGAGCCCAGAGGTTTGAGGTCTCTCTGAGATGTGATCACACCACTCACTGCACTCCAGCCAGGGCAACAGAACAAGAACCTGTCTCTAAAAAACAAGAAGTTGTTGACTTCCTTGAGAAGTCATCCAGAGCAGAAATTGTCAGTAGAGTTACTTCATCACACCTGTTCCCTTTAGGCTGTATGTCATGAGGGTCATGGGTCAGTGTCCTGGGAAAGGCACGAGGTACTCCAAACTTTCCTGTCCTCTCTCCTCTCTCCCTGACGTACCCTTCATTCCCCCAGGGTTAGCAGTTGTCATAATTGTGTACTTCAAGGCAAGATTCTAAACCACTCTGGAATTCATATTCTTCATCTGCAGAATGAATGCAGACACTGATCTCCAACGTTCCTGCTGGCATTATCTAGATCTATTCTACCAGCCAGTCATCCTTTCGTTTATTTCACAAACATTTAATGAGTGCCTGCTGGGTGTCGGGCACTGTTCTAGGTACTGGCAATGCAAATAAATAAAACATGATTCTTGCCCTCAAGTTGCTCATAGTCTGTTAGGAGAGTCAAGTAAAGCAAGAATTTCAGCATGGGAAATGAAAAGGGAACACACAGGAGGGGCTCCTGAGGCTGATGAGGGGCAAGGTGAACACGAGCTTTCTGGAGGAGATGATATGTAACCTGTTTTGGGAGATGGGCAGCCCTCGATTATATATAAACCTAGCAATAGTACTGACATCCAGACCATAAGAAACTTATCCAGAACTTTTGTCATAAAAAAAGTCTAGAACAAAACTATAATAATATATACTATTCAGTATATATTTAAGCATCTGGTATTATGGTGTAGTGTAGTTTATATTTGATTTACAAGTGGCAGTGGAAGCTATCATCTTTTCAGTGTTTAGAGACTCTAAAAATCTGAATCAGCCCTGAGAATGAGGACACATTGGCAGCGAAGGTGAGAAGGAAACGCCAGGCCAAAGTTGCAGGGACAAGAGCTAAGCGGTCTGAGAGAGGATGGCACCTAGCAGAAAAAATAACTCACATGCACAAAAAACGTGCAAAATGGAATGTGCTGTGTGCTTTGAAATGATCTAAGATCCTCTGGACCTGCAGGGGAAGCCCTGACCCTTCACTAACCCTCAACCTTGACAGTCATTTGTATGGCTTTTGTGCAGCGAGTCACCTGTTCCCCTACGTGAAGAAGAGAATACAAGTCGTAAGCCAGTCGAGCACAGAACTGAACCCCATTGAAGTGGCGATTGACGAGATGTCCAAGAAGGTTTCTGAGCTTAATCAGCTTTGCACCATGGAAGAAGTGGACATGATCCGACTGCAGCTCAAACTCCAAGGAAGTGTCAGCGTGAAGGTGAGTAAACGTTGCCCAGGGCTGAGATGCACACAGCCAGTGAAACCAGGTACAAAACGATGTGGGAACTTTCTTACGAAGAATAAAAAAAGTGTTTTTCTATTTGTGATTCCATCCAACACCTTTATCTGGGTCTTTAAAATTGTGCTTAGCTGTAAATGCACATTGATGGTGTCCAATACCCATAGATATGCCTTTCTTCAGTTTAGCTGAAATAAAATTTTTTCTTCCTCAATGCTGCGATCCCATCCTCTGTGGATAACTATGTTCTATATCTGTATCCTAGAGAATGAATGAACTAATGAATAAACATGGCACTCTTGTACATATCTGTCATTAAGAGCCTTATAAAATTGTTCCCAAACAAATCCAAAAAAAATGTTGACTAGTTCATAAAAGGTACATGAGTGTTTATCTGTCTAAAAGGGTTGTGACAGGGAGTAGATAGCATGCTCACAGTGAGTGGTTGAGGAAAATAGAATAAATAAACATTTTCAAAAGTGTGAGGAGCATTTAGGAAAGCCAGCAAGGGTGTCACCATCCTAGACCTGAAGGCGCCAGGAGAGGAGCATTAGTGGAAGCAGACCAGGGACTGAGAGGTCCAGCTGATAACGGACAGGTGGGCAGGCGTGGCCTCTGCTAGAGGAAGGAGGCTTCTGCAAGGAGGAAGCCCTGGGGCTCACACCAGGGCCAGACAGGTGAAGTGAGTAAGGCACTCACCTTGGGCATGAAATTTAAGGGGGCCCGAAACCATTCAGTAATCAAGAGGAAATAATATTTGAATATGATATTTTTAAAAATCAAAGTTAATGCCAAATATCGATAAGGAACAAAGTATTGAAATTTTAAATAAAGACAGGCCAGTAACAGCATCCTGCCAGGTGTATTGGAGCCTGAGGCGAAAGAGGAAATGAGTGATGCTGATCCTGACAGGACTGCACTGTCCCCTCCCCTGCTGCTCTTGTCTGTGTCCCCCACTGGCTGAGAAGGCCGAAAGGCAAGGGAGACATTGGCCTAGTCCACACAGGACGGCTTCCGTAGGCACCTGGCTGAGTGCAGGAAAGTGGAGATTGCATCCGGAGAAGCAAAGGATGACACATCCAGTCCCGTCTACTGCACCTGCCACACTGGCCATTCCTGGTGATCATAGTCGCCCCAAGTCGGCTCAAATGCAGTAGTATTAGCTGCCTTCTGCTTTTACCTTCTTCCTTGTCAAAGCCGACAGCCACATTTAAAGGTTAAATGCACCAAGGAATATGGACTCCGCCATGAGTGTGAGCATGAATAGAACCCGGCATTGTGCGTTCATTCAGCAAACCTGGCATTGTGCGTTTATTCAGATAAATGCCTCCTTGGACTGGAATCTAAGCCAGACTGTCAAGTGAAAAACAGTAAAACAGTGGTTCCAGGGAGGTGACCACACCCCTACCACTGTGGAATGTCCTTTCATAATAGTTACATGTTTATTTGAACGTTAAAAAAGAATCAAACATTTGATTTCATAAATTTTAAATTTAAATAAATGTGTTGGCATTAATAGAAGGGAGTCTAGTTTTCAGATGCAGAGTCCTAGCATGCAGATATGGCAAACATGTGAAAGGGTGCCAAGTGGCTGAAGTTTGGGAAGGACGGCAGTGACGGGGAGGGCTCAGATGACGCAGCCTGCAGGGACTAGCTGGAAGAGAACAGTAAACCAGGTGTACAAATGAGAGACTGCAAGGCAGCATGAGAGAACTGGGTACCGCAGGATTGGTGCAAACAGTTGCTACTCCGTCCAGCCACAGAGAAGGCTGCATGGAAGTGGAGAGCGGGGATCATCTTCCACCAATTCCCTTCTCTCCAACAGGTTAACGCCGGGCCGATGGCCTATGCACGAGCTTTTCTTGAAGAAACCAATGCAAAGAAATACCCTGACAACCAAGTAAAGCTTCTGAAAGAGATCTTCAGGTAAGCCTCCCTTGGTTGCAATGTTCTTCCTTGAACTCCTTCAAACAGGAAGTCCTGAATCCCCCAGGAAGCTGCCTGACCAAACCTCTTCGAGGTGGCAGAGTCCATCAGCAGCCCGACTTGGAACTCAAGTCGCTGAACTCAGTGCCACTTCCCACGGGTGGTTTTTAATTTGTTTAATCTGTTGCTGAAGGCAATTTGCAGACGCCTGTGGGCAGGCCCTTGACGTGAACGAGCGCCTCATCAAGGAGGACCAGCTGGAGTACCAGGAGGAGCTGAGGTCCCATTATAAGGACATGCTCAGCGAGCTCTCCGCCATCATGAACGAGCAGGTGAGCTTTCCCTGGGACACGAGCCGTCAGCAATGGAAAGTGTCCATTTTACCCCCAGCACCCAAGGGACTGGAAAGAGTCTCTTTTCTTGCTGCTGAATCACTGCAGCTTACATCAGCACCATGTTGCCGAATCGTTTTCTCCCATGCGCACAACGCCCCTGGCCGTAAAGCAGAGATCGGGTTGGGGGAAAAGAATACGAGAACCCAGATAGCTTCCACCGTTTCCAGAGGTGCTTATCCAAGCCCTATGAACTGTTGCTTTTCTAGAATATGTGGGTCGGACTGGACACTGAGGAACACTGGGTGGCATTCCTACTAGGGTTCACCGTGCTCTGTCATCCCTGCGTGAGGGCCTCTCAACCCCCAGGCCGTGATGTGGAACTCCACAGTGCTGCCACGCAGGGTCCTGCACCGCACTCCGGAATAAACCAAGCACTAGTCATGCATGGCCTTTTATGGCCAAGACCGCCTCTACAGAGGCCGGGCCTCCTGCAAAGGTGCAGGATTGGGATAACACTCAACCTCCCACTCCGCAAGCAAGTCATCCGTGATTTCTGGCATGCATCCAGCATGCTGTGTAAGGCTGTGCACAAAACGTGGGCATTCAACAACCTCAGGACTTTTGGAGATGCTAAAATTCAACTGGTTGAAAGCCAAGTGCTACCCGCCTCCCTGGCCACTTCTCGGGCATCCATCAACCCTCACGCTCTACCTGGACAGCTCATCATCCATGGTCCCCTCCAGATATGTTAGATATGTTCTTTCCAGAAAAATTGAGGGCCAGAACTTGAGCTAGTCTCCCAGTTATAGTAGCCACTCATTTAATATTTGCTCCCCTTCCTCCCCTTAAATGGTCTGGCACTATTAACACTCTTCACAAAATATGAAATGTGTTGTACAAACTTTTTATCCTAATTGCATTTCCCATATTTGTTTTCTTTTTTCCCATCTTCTCCTACCCAGATTTTTAACTCTCCGTAATATAATAGCTAGAGAAAGAAATGGTTGATCGACTTATGTTGGAGAGAATTAATCTCCTTGGATAGGATTCCTAGTGAAGGTAGTATTGGTTTGGCTTTTTGAGGGGTCATGGGAACTAAGTAGTCAAGAGAGATGCCTTGATAGCCGGGGCGAAAGTAGAAATGTAGGAATGAAACAAAAAGAACACCATGGATCTGAGAATTGAGAAAGGTGGTGAAGGAATGCTATCTTCAACTGGAAATTGACCTTGGAACTTCATCTGACCTTGAACTTCAGGCAAAAATTCTTTTCTCTTTTTTCCCAGCAGCTCTGTCGAGGTCCGTGTTTATACAGCTTCTGTTCCTCTATGTCTAGTATTTCCCTCAGTACTGTAAGCAAAAGTGGTATGTTTTTCTTTCCTTATGTCTACTCTACCTTTGTGGCCTTCTTGTCTACCTATCTCTACCTAGCCATTCATTTTCCCCCGTCACCTCCGTAGTGGCTAGCGTTCTACAGGTTTTTATTTTATCCCATTTCAATGTGGGTCTGTGGCGGGGAAAAGCCTGGTGATTAAAACCAAAGTTAACAACTTAGCTTTTAAAATGGATTCAAGCAGGGTGTGGTGGCTCCCTCCTGTAGTCCCAGCTATTTGGGAGGCTAAGATAGGAGGATCGCTTAAGTCCAAGAGTTCAAGACCAGCCTGGGTGATATAGTCAGATCGCCCCCATCTCTAAAAAAAAAGAATGAAAATTCATACTCCATCAACTTCCAAAATGTATTTCAGCTTATTTGTTTCCAAAATAAAGATACACTATCCCCCAAAGTGCTGATACAAAGACAAAGACCAAATGAGAGAAAAATAGTTTCTTTTCCAGGAGACCTTTGCAAAGAAGCAAAATTTGACTCTATGCTTCCTGGAAACTGGCACAAAGAAAAGAAACATGCATTTCACAGGTCTTGTTAGTTGATAAAAGAAATAGATCTGTTTGCAGGAAAGACAAGCTTTGTCCTGGTCCTGAACTTTGATGGGGATTTGTCACATAGGTCTTCATATATGCGATTACCTTCACATACCTATCTACTCAAGCACAGATTCTGGAAAAAGGGACATATACTATTATAATGAAGAGAAAAATTCTGCCATTGAACTTTGTAAGAGAAAGGGTCTCACTCTGTTGCCCAGGCTGTAGTGCAGTGGTGTAATCATAGCTCACTACAGCCTCGAACTCCTGGACACAAGTGATCCTCCTGCCTCAGCTTCCCAATGTGCTGGGATTACAGGCGTGAGCCACCATACCTGGACTCTACTATTAAACTTTTAAAAATAGAAACAATTAGAATGGCTACATAGACCTAGAAATATGAAAATAGAAATAGAAAATAATAAATTATCCAATTCAGTCCACAGGTGTCCAGAAAAGGCTTAGCTAGAAGAGTGTTCTGTAGCCATCTCGTTAATGAAGGAACCTTCAGTATAAGGAAAGAGATGGAACAAGATAAAGTGAATGTTAGTGTGTGAAATGGATATATCGAGATGAAGTGATTTGAGTTGTCAGTGACAGGAAGGAAATAATTACTTTTATAGCCAGAATTCCACACTGTTTTATAAATAGCCAAAAACACATAAAATCCTCCCTTGACTGAGGCTGAATTAAGGCATTTAAGTATTTAAATGACACATAAGTATGAGTTGTTCATGTGGAGTCTGTTCTAACATTCAGTGAGAATGACAGCATAGTGAAGCCAACTTTGGCGATGAGTATCAAATATAGAACGCAGAACAACCCATTCTGTTATGGCGCCAAGCAGGTGAGATGCAAAAGTATATTTCTCTTAGAGTCTCAGATACTCTTTGAACACATCAGCCAAATTATTTATGCAGAGCCTTGTGACATCCACCATAAGGAGAATTTATTGGGAGTATAGGACACTCAGATGCTAAGTGCTTCACAGAAGACAGAAGGAAATTCTATCTTGGAAGAGGGCAGAGTTAAAGGTCATGGCACAGGGTGGTAATGTGTGAAATTTGTGGGAAAATCTTCACAACTAGAAATTTAGTTAATCTCACTTCTGTGCAGAGATACATTTGAGAGGTGCCTGTTTTTCTGTTGTTATTGTGTTTATATATGATTATTTGAATATATCTGATAGGAGAGCATTTTTATAGGCATATTACCATTATTTTCAAAAGTAAATTCAGGTCAAGATATATTTTTCCTATGTTTCCATTTATGCAGACACTTAAATGATATTTCTAATATTTCCCCCTTTTTAATGGATTTGAACAATATACACTATAAATTTTTAGAATAGAATAAAATCCTGGAATTACTCAGATGCATTTATAAGTTTCATTGAAACATTTATAAATTCATACCTGATATTAATAGTTACAGAGGATTGTGAAGCTACTTTAAATTTTGCCAAAATGACTAGCACATGGGCTTGGGAAAAAAATCCTTTAGCTCTACTTTGATACCCTGCAGGGAATAAAAATCATTGTCCTGGGTTTTAATTTTGTGTTCGGGGATATTAACGTTAACTTCTCCATTATCACTTTGTTTCGTTGTGTGGTATTTTGTCTTGTCTTAAGATTACGGGCAGGGACGACCTATCAAAGCGCGCAGTGGACCGAACCTGCACTCGAGCAATTAGCAAGGCGGCCCCAGCCCTGCCTGCAGTCCTGGTGTCGTCTAGCGCTGAAGTCTGAGAGAACGTCTGCGGCAACAGACACGCCTCAAAGAGAACTTTCTGAATTTGCAGCTAATCTCGGGGAAGAGAAAGACAGATTTAATTTATTTGAACTTTTTATGGTGTTAATATTTTTGTTTACCTCGCTAGCTTGAGAATTTTGCCAGCCTCTGGATTTGCACATTTTTTATGATTTTTTTTTCCTTTGAGCAGTGTTGATCAAGCCAAGCTGAATATCTGCCATGAAATTCCAGTGAATGTGTAACTCAAAAGCAAGCCCTAAGTTTGCTGTCAGATATAGTATGTTCAATGCCCCAGTCCTAGTACACATATTTTAAAGGTTAAAGTGAATGTTTTTGTAACATTTAAGCATATTTCAGATGTAAATAAAAGATTGTAAAATATATGGTTTTTACCAAATTTAAAAGATCCTTTTTTGGTTAATACTTATGACAGTACTAAAATTATATGAATAACATTTCAGATACCATTATATTAAAATATTTGTGTATGTGTACAAAAGTGTTGATAAATACCAATCTTTAAAGTTTGTGGAGTTTCTTTATTTGTAATATATGTGCTCTTAAAAGCAATGGAATGTGAAATTATGACAGTATTTTGTTGTTGTTAATAGAAATAAAAAATACAGTTACTTTGCATTTGGTTTCCTCTTGAAGAGAGTGGGCAGGTTACAACTAAAAGTGGTTCATTGGACATCTGTCAAATGCAATTCTGTGCTCAATACTTATGATTCCTTATAAAGAAGTCAGAAAGTTCCCCCAAAGATGAACTAGACAGATCGGGGGGTTCCAAACCTAAGATAGTATTCAAATTATTTGAGGAGAACATAATGAATCACAACCTTGAGGGTTGTGGGAGTTACCAGACTGTTCACAAATATTCCCCTTCTGCCCTCCGTAAACGTGTGGTAGGATTGCACTTTCCTGCCTCTTTTGAAGTTAGGCGTGACAATATGACTTGCCTTCTTCATTGAAATGTGAGCAAAAGTGACATGTGTTCACTTTCAGGCAGAGGCTTCAATGTCAGTAAGTGGTTCTGCCCAGTTCCCTGCACTGACGTAGTTATCTTTGAAGCACACAGAGATGAACCCTCTATCAGCCTGAGTCCCCAAAGGACTCCAGTGAGCAAGACACACGCACACCCGTCCCCACCTAACCCTCTTGGTCCCATAGCCTGAGTGAGAAAAGCCACTCTGTTGTGTTAAGGTCCCCAAGATCCAGAATTGTTTGTTACTACAGCATGATGAGCTTCTCCTGGCTGACCTGTATTTTTGATCAAAGCTGGGACGGATACTGGGCCAGGTTTGGGGACCACTGACACATTCCACCCTCCAGTCTGCCAACATCAGCTCTAGTGGAACTGAACTAACTGACCTGCCTCGGGATGCAAAAGACAGGCTAGACAATGTCATTTTACATTCACCTTCAGCAGCCATTCCAACGTCCTAGACTCAAAGGAGACTTTAGCTGAGTTCATCGTTCTGCTGTGCAAGTCCACTGGCCAGTATCTGCACGCAAGGGTGAGGACACAGGATAGGGATTGCAACACATATTTAATATCTACGTATTGTGTACGCAGAAGTGATAAAAGGATATTTTGGGTGAGAACTCATCCCTCAAGACACATTTAAATACTCTGTTCTCAAACAAAGCCCACTGTTTTATTTTAAGAAGATCTACCTGTGATGAGCTGAACTCTGGCTCAAAGCATCATCCCCAACTTCATTCTGGGGCCAGCTCTCTTGGTTCCCAACTGCGTGGGTCAGGATCTGAGCTGCTCTCTTCTAACTTCTCATTTGGATTTGCAATCTGCCTTAGACATTATCACTGCTCCAGGAACCCAGGAAGGCTCTTCTTTGATATCATCTCCCACCTGATTGTCACCATTAGGCTTAATTCTTCATGCCCATCCTAATCCACCCATCTCCCATGTGCCACGGACACTGTCAGCAATGGGTTGCCATCCAAACCTGAGAACAAATCCTCCAAGGAAATATCTAAGGAAGTAATTGAAAATAATAGATCTTTTTGGCCTTGTAACTGCAAATATTCTATTTTTTGCATCCCAAACAGCAATATGGGTTCATTATATTTTGCCTCCAAAGTGGTTCACAGAACAAGAAGTTTAAACACAACTGCTCTAGAGAGAATTATCTAAAACCACTCTGCCTTAACAGCATTGACACTCACCCTGCTCAATCCCAGTACTTCTGATTCCTTCCCTGCTTTGGGGCCGATGTATCAAACTGGCTGCTCAGACGCTGAATCCAGCACATGTTTCATCTGCCAAGCATCGTGGCTTTAATTTTTCTCAATTAGGTGTCTACATTTAACTATTCGAAGACTTTATATAAAAGTTCATCTTCCTAGTACCTGTTGAAAAATCAGCCATATGGCATTGCTGGACTCACATTCCCACATGAAAACAAGGAGTTAAAACTGAGATACTGTTGACCCCTTTTCATGTGATTTCTGGCTTGCTGAAGTCTGCAGCGGGCCCTAATCAACTTATAACGGGTATAAGGGGGTTTGTTTGTTTTGCTTTGTCTTGTTTTATTTTTAGAGCTAGAGTCTCACTCTGTCACTAAAGCTGGAGTGCAGTGGTGCAATCATAGCTCACTGCAGCCTCCAATTCCCAGGCTCTGCAATCCTCTTGCCTGAGCCTCCCTGGCTGGGCCGACAGGCATGCGCCACTACGCCCGGCTAATTTTTCTTATTTTTTGCAGAGATGGGGTATCACTATGTTGCCCCGGCTCATCTCAAACTCCTGGCCTCAAGCAATCCTCCCACCTCAGCCTCCCAAAGTGCTGGAATTATTATAGGCATGAGCCACCATGTCCAGCCTAGGCCTCTATTACTTATATTTTCTGCCTAGATCTCATAGGCATGTGTAGATCCCAGTCCAGACAAAAATCCATCTAATTGTAGTGATCATTTGGTGTGGACAAAAGACCACCTACTTCATGTAAACTCACATTTTAACATGTTAAAATGCATATTTCTGAGCTCCGTCAGACTTTCTGAAGTAGAAACCCCTAGGAGTAGAGCCCAGTACCCAGGCACACGTGATTCTTAGACATACGAGGGTATAAAAACTCCACTGGGTCCTCTGCTAATTAGCTAACCCTAAAAATACTTGCACAAGACAATGCCTTGTAAACAGTGACCTGATTTTGAATTGCCAAGACACTGAATTCTTACTTTTATATTCCTTTTCATCTTTATATAAATTTTATCTGAATTAATATTCTGCAAAATAAGCTCGGTAAAAAATGGTAGTAAATCTCCCAGTTCTACAGATGAAAAGGCTAAAAATAAGAGAAATGGCATTATCTCCTATTATTGACCCTGGAAGACATCCCACACAGAATACGTGGATCTGACACCTGGGATGTCAGGCCTGGCTCTGTCCCCTCATCCATTCATCAGCCCACTCAGTAGCTACCCCTCTTTCCATACTCATTTCAAAGTACAAAATGCCTAGACTGTAAAAAAAAAAAAAAAAAATTAATGATGTGACCCCTCATTTTTGGTAACAGATACCTTACAAGTAAGTGTCCATTATCCAAACTTCATGTGGTAAATCCCTCTTCTGTATTCTCATTTAGGACGTGGTATAAATGGGCCAATCAGAGCATTTCCTTCCCTGTGGCAGGCAGCTTTCTGTGGGATGCAGCTGGGGAGAGAGGGAGAGCGGGTTACTACGAAGGCTTGGCTTTCAGAACCCTGAATGTTGCTCTGCACAAGGATTTCGCCATATTTGCAGACAAATGATTTATCATCTTATAATATTTGTCAAACTCCAGAAAGGCAAAAATATATGTATTGTAGAATGTCAGTGCTCCTGTGAGCAGTTAGGAAATAAAAAACATTTGTGAGAAAATGTGACAAAATGATCCTAAATCAAATGTGATATTTGCTCGTATTACAAGTGGCCCTCATATCCTCCACCCCCGCACTTGTGTCGGTGAAAAATTGTATATAACATAAAGTGTTTATCATAACATATGCTGATGATATGATATTTTGTTCAGAAACTGGTGGAGTCTGGGCATGATTAGCATTCAAGATTCTCCACAGGAAGCCCCTTTTCTTCCTCCTAATTTCAGACCCTGTCTACTTGTCTACGCGTAACCTTCACTACAGCCACAGGGTTCTGCTCACCTAAAAAACCCTACCTTGCTCCTCCTCCTGGCAGAAATGTCCCTTTGCCTTCTCTCCAAGTGCATAAATCTAACCCATAAACATAAGGAGCCGGCATAATTCATACGTGTGATGGATGCAGTGAGATCATACCTAGACCCACCCTCCAGGACTGAGGCTCCCGTGTCCCCAGCTGCTGGGACTTGCAGCAGCTGATTGCTCTCAGCTGAGTCCCTCTTATCCAGGTTCACATCACCAGCCTAGAGGAAGCTCATTTGAATGACTGGTTGTTGGGGGGAAGCACAACAGCCTGTCATTGCCCCAGTTCAGGATAATTCTAAAAGGCCATCCTGGCTCCCCAGCTCCTACTGAGAGGTCTCTTGCAACTACTTCAAAGCTCAACTCCTCCCTCCAAGAGGAGTCCAATAGCACAGATCCCCAGTCTCTGTCCTGCACGTAAATCTCCACCTTGGAGTCTGTTTCTCACGGAGTGGACTAAGTCAACAGTTTCTCCAGAGCTTTGCTTATGTTGCTAGTGTGTCTGGATTTCTCATCCTCTTCCCATGATTGGTGTGTACTGCCTGTGTCTCCTGTTTTCCTCTTTTCCTCAATTATGTCGTCAGTTATCATCTCATGTGACCAGCCATGCTTTCTTTCCACCCATGTTACAGCCTCCTTGCAGGCAGATTGTGTCTTAATCTTTGTAGTCTTGGCTGTTCAAACTATTGACTTCAGAGTTCTAGAGTCAAGTTCTCAAAGTTCTTTTGGATCAAGTACTTATTTCCAGAGAAAATGCTAGGGCAGGGAATGGGAAGCAGAAAAAGAAAGGACAGAATGTGGGAAGATAGATTGGGGGCCACATGTCATCGTAGGAAGGAGCATCCCTGAATCTCTTTTATAAGGGAATATTTTTGAAAATATTAGAGTTTACTGGGTTTTTATTTCTTTTAAGTTCTCAGCCTTAGCAGGGTTTTGCCAATATTTGGTACTGGATAGGTATAACTGTAGGAGGAAATTTAAGCAAAATTGTTAATGACATGATTTCTTTATTTGTAAGTTCCCAACTCCCCTTTGCTCCCAGATCCTTTAGATTCTTGTTCCCTCCGCACCACTCAGTCACCTCCTGTTAGAAGACAGGATGCTCACTTTCACCTCCCCTATTTAACATAGTACTGGAAGTCCAGGCTGGAGCAATTAGTCAAGAGAAAAAAACAAAAGGCATCTAAATTGGAAAAGAGGAAGTCAAATTGTCCCTCTTTGTGGATGACATGATATCATATCTGGAAAATCCTAAAGACAGTACCAAAAAACTCTTAGATATGATAAATAAATTCAGTAAAGTTGCAAGATACAAAATCGACATAAAAAAATCAGTAGCATTTCTACACAACAATAATGAACTAGCTGAAGAAGAAGTCAAGAAGGCAATCCCATTTACAATAGCTACAAAAAAGAATAAAATACCTAGGAATAAATTTAACCAAGGATATGAAAGA